ATCTAGGCTTAAGACTTTCCTTTTTGCTAAATCCTATAGTTAGGGTTGGCTTGGGTTTCCTAAGCTGTCCCTTAGCTAAGCAGATATAGGCTTAGACTGCTGGAGGACAAACTGACCACACTTTTCACTCTGCTACTGTATTTACTTGCTCTGCTCAACATGTTTTGTATTTGTAATTATTTTTTCCATCCTTAACATGTGGGTTTTTTTTTTTGTCTTTCAGGTACACCTGGACCTATATCTGGACCTACCATTCTGTGTTCATTTGGCTCTCCTTCCTGTCCTCTCAAACCAGCCTGTCAAAGCTGATGGCCGCTTGTCCCGAGCCTGGTTCTGCTGGAGGTTTCTTCCTTTTAAAAGGGAGTTTTTCCTTTCCACTGTTGCCATTGTGCTTACTCCGAATGGGAGACTGCAACAAAGCCAAGCTTCAACTTGTCTGCTGGCCTCCTTAGATAGAGAACTTTACTAATTGGCTTTTATGTATGTGAATGTTTCTGTAAAGTGCCCTGAGACAACTTTGGTGTGATTTGGTACTATATAAATAAACTGAATTGAATAGAATTATACACTGTATACATTAGAATATAGTAGGTTATACACTGTATACAGTGGAATATAGTAGTTCATAAACAGTATACAGTAGAATATACTACAAACCGGATTCCAAAAAAGTTGGGACACTAAACAAATTGTGAATAAAAACTGAATGCAATGATGTGGAGGTGCCAACATCTAATATTTTATTCAGAATAGAACACAAATCACAGATCAAAAGTTTAAACTGAGAGAACGTATCATTTCAAGGGAAAAATCTGTTGTTTCCAAATTTCATGGCGTCAAAAAATCCCAAAAAAGTTGGGACAAGTCCATTTTTACTACTGTCTGTCATCCCCCCTTCTTCTTACAACATTCAACAGACATCTGGGGACAGAGGAGACCAGTTTCTCAAGTTTAGAAATAGGAATGCTCTCCCATTCATGTCTAATACAGGCCTCGAACTGTTCAATCGTTTTGGGCCTTCTTTGTCGCACCTTTCTCTTTATGATGCGCCAAATGTTCTCTATATGTGAAAGATCTGGACTGCAGGCTGGCCATTTCAGTACCCGAATCCTTCTCCTACGTAGCCATGATGTTGTGATTGTTGCAGAATGTTGTCTGGCATTATCGTGTTGAAAAATGCAGGGTCTTCCCTGAAAGAGATGACATTTAGATGGGAGCATATGTTGTTCTAGTACCTGAACATAGTTCTCTGCATTAATGGTGCCTTTCCAGACATGCAAGCTGCCCATGCCACAAATGTTCATGCAACCCCATACCATGAGTGATGCAGGCTTCTGAACGTAGCATTGATAATAACTTGGGCTATCCTTGTCCTCTCTGGTCCGGATGACATGGCGTCCCAGTGTTCCATAAAGAGCTTCAAATCGTGACTCATCTGACCACAGAACAGTCTTCCATTTTGCCACACTCCGTTTTAAATGACCTCTGGCCCAGTGCAAATGTCTGAGCTTGTGGAGCTTGCTTAGAAATGGCTTCCTCTTTGCACTGTAGAGTTTCAGCTGGCAACGGCGGATGGCATGATGGATTGTATTCACTGACAATGCTTTCTGGAAGTATTCCTGAGCCCATTCTGTTATTTCCTTGACAGTGGCACTCCTGTTTGAGGTGCAGTGACGTTTAAGGGCCCGGAGATCACGAGCATCCAGTAGAGTTTTACAGCCTTGACCCTTACGCACAGCGATTGTTCCAGATTCTCTGAATCTTTTGATGATGTTATGCACGGTTGATGATGATAACTTAAAAGTCTTTGCTATTTTACGCTGGGTAACACCATTCTGGTATTGCTGCACTATCTTTCTGCGCAACAATGGTAGAATTGGTGATACTCTTACCATCTTGGCCTCTGAGAGACACTGACACTCTGAGAAGCTCTTTTTATACCCAATCATGTTGTCAATTGGCCTAATTAGTGTTAATTGGTCTTCCAGCTGTTCGTTATACGCTCAATTTCCTTTTTCCAGCCACTTATTGCTACTTGTCCCAACTTTTTTGGGATTTGTTGACACTGAAATTTTGAATCAACATATTTTTCCTTTAAAATGTTAAATTTACTCAGATTAAACTTTGATCTGTCATCTATGTTATATTACGAATAAAATATTGACATTTGCCATCTCAACATCATTGCATTCAGTTTTTATTCACAATTTGTTTAGTGTCCAAACTTTTTTGGAATCCGGTTTGTAGTTTATACACTGTATAGAGTAGAATATAGTAGTTTATACACTGTATACAGTAGAATATACTAGTTTCTACACGCTATACAGTAGAATATAGTAGTTTATACACTATACAGTAGAATATACTGATTTATATATACACTCTATACAGTAGATTTTACAGTTTCTCATCATGAACATTTCATTGCATTGTTGACCTTGTGTTGACCTACATATGACAAATAAACTAAACTAAGTATGAATTTCAAAAGTAAATTTGAAAGTTAAATCCTACATTTCTTTAGATGAGCTACTAGCATACACCCTCACCAAAAATCAGGGAGTTTTCATCTCTGCTGGGAGCGTTATTCGTAAAAATGAATTATTTGACATTTGTTTCTTTCTCTTGTATCTTAACAGAAGTGTAATTTAGGCGTGCCGGTGCACCTCTACAATTTAAATAAGCATCTTTTCTCATAAAAGTGTGCAAGAAGAAGAGAACACCGCCTCTTTCTTAAATATTTCAGAGTTGAACATTGTAGTGATCTAGACCTCCGACATCAATCTGTCTCTGAGGACCTTCAGGGGACAGGAACTGTTATTTCATTGATTTGAATCCAGAAATACAAATTATCTCATCAAGAGACTATTTAATTGTATCCTGAATTAATCAATTGAAAGAACACTCTTCTTTTTTTATATTATCATTAACTATTTTACAATATCTTGATAATCAAAAGTGTGTTTATTTCATACCATTTCAAATGTTGAAGTAAACAACTCATTTAAATCAACTGTGAAACAGCATTAATGATTTTTAAACCTCATTAGACTTGGATCATACAAGTAAATGTCTATTTACGAAGTAAGTGTGCATTAGTCTTCTGTCTGAATGAGGAGTATTGGATTTGAGGGCGAAAGTCAGAGACAAGTTATGAGAATGAAGTGCCTTGTTTTAAAACTCTCAGACAGTAAATAAGAACTGGCTGGCACCTGCATTCTCTCATTTCTTCAAAATATTTCTCTGTCTGTACTAACCGTTCTTAAAACATTTCTGCTGTCTCCTGACTTCTAATAACCCTCTGACATCACTAAAACTACACCCCTGCTGGTTGTTTCAACCAATCAGGAAGTACCAAATGATAGGAAGTGGATACCCTTTAAAAATCAACACTTCTTGGAACTATTCAGTCTTTTCCTGTCTTCCGAGGCTTTCCAGTCTTCCTGGAACTTTCAGTCGGAGATGAGACTCAGTCTGATGGAGTCTTACAGCTGAACAAAATAGCTGATGGATTTGACCATGTGCCAAGGGTCCATCCATTCCAGCGTAGTCACAGCCTGCCTTGGCTGTGACTCAACCCGAGCATTAAATGTTCAACTTCTAAAGAAGCTTATTCTGTTGAACTGAGTACTTCGTCACGACTTCTGACGACCCCAGCCACTCTGACCGGAGACGCTGAAAAGGGAGCGTGCCAATGGACCTCTGTTCCGGAGTGGATGTATCCACCATCTCAGGTAGTAACAAGCCATTGCACGCCCTGAAGTGTACTGGAGGGCTGAGCTGGATTCGGAGGAAGTGTGCCATTTTCTGGTCAGCACATGTCCCTTCATCCATCTAAACCTCCTCTTTAAATCTTTAAACTTCTATTCTCCTTCTCTTTAAACTTCTATTCGCCAGTAAATCAAGCTAGATGCCTTCAGAGATGAATCAGTCTCAATCAGTAATCTTCTGTTGTCTTGTTTATTAAATCATGCCAAGTTTATTAATCAGAAACAGATCAGCAAATCAGTGTGTACATGTTTGATGTTCAATTTTGATTCTGTTAAATAAATGACCGCATTTATTCTGATGGGTCAAAGATAAATTACGTCTCATGTCACTAATTACCACTCCACTCCACAAGTTATCTTGGTCACATGGCAGAAATTTAACTCGAAAAGGAAAGAATCTGTGTTAATTAAATAATTGATATTCTTTGTGCTTAAACTAGCTTTAAGAATAATTAATTAGTAGTGAAGCTAACAGCTAGCTCACTACAACATTATTTTCCGAGTGCATGTTAAAACTATCGTTGCAGTTAATGAAACCCTTGACACACTGCTTCAGACCCAGTGAACAAATCTGACTCCTGTGTGTTTGATGTCATTTTTACACATTAGGGCTCATTTCTTAAAATGGATCTGTATTTTTTTGTTTGTTTTTTCTTCTTCTGCATTAACCAAAACAATCCAACAAAGTAAGAGTCGTTCTCTGTATCCTTACATGCCTCAGCTTGAACCTGACGGCCTCCTGCCTCGTTTCTGAGCAGCTCAGAATACAGCAGGCCTCCGTTTGCCTTTCAGCATCTTTCATCGGTTACAAAACAGCCACTTCCTGCTGCTGCAGGAAGTCTGGGTATGGCAGCCAATATGCTCAAATAAACTCCAGATTATAGCAGCAAGCAGCCTGGACTGCTCAACCATGAGGGGACCCTAAAAAGCCTACACAGAGCTGGTGAAGACAAGCTTAAATCCAATAAATGATTTATTTGCAGGACTCAGCAATGAGGCAATTGGTAAAGGAAACAATGAGGATGTGATGAGATTTTAGTGAGACACTAAAACTAGCCTAATTTCTAAAGGAGCAGGAAGGAAGAAAAGTGAAGTGATGGAAAAAAGACGTGGCCTGTTGGAGTGTGTGCTTGGGTTCAGTCTGTACATTAAAGAGGAAATTAATTACAGTTTGTTGAGTCTGGGGGGAGAGTTTCACATGTGTCACATGTGAACAGAGTGAACACTCACCAACAGGTCGATGCAGTCACGGTGCCCCAGAGATTCATGTGCCACCTTCTCCCCACCCGGGCTCAGGATGTAGGGGCTCTGACCTCCAGAGGGCTTCATGTTGGGCAGGCTGAGCGAGCGCAAGTCCTTCACATCCTGCTCCACCTTCAGCTCATCGCCGGGCCGAGCTACACATGAAAATAATGACATCATTACTTTGACTGTAACTTTTACATCAACGTTTTTTGTATAAAGACATATCTTTAAAAAATACCATTTAAAAAACACAAAATATAAAAAATAGAGCAATAAACTTCAATTTTACAGCATCTTTTCACATTTTAGACAAACAACAAACAGATACATATACAACAACGCTCAGTCAGGTCATCTGGACAGTTTATTTTTTGTAGAGACGTTTCACCCTCTATCCCAAGGGCTTCATCAGACTGAGGAGTCCTAAGTAAACTGTTTCCCCACTAAGCAGTACACTCCTTAAGTGGACCAACCAGTTTGATATAAATATGTTTTCACATACAAGCTGTAGTGTGAAAAAAAACTAATGTTAGCCTCATGTTTTTTTTGTTTTTTGTTAGAGTTTTGTAAAAACAAAACTAAAAAGACAAAATGTTCAGAATAAATGTTTCTTAAGGCTGAACAGCTGGAACCATTTCCCCATGATCTCCGTTTCAAACTGTGTAACTCTGGTTTGGAGATGAGAGGCAGATGAGGTTACAAATAGAAACTTTTCATGACCTTGGATCTTTTATGGCAGGTTTTAATCAACCTTGGATTTAAAAACAACACCAGTTTATCTCCAGAAAAGTGACACTTTCCCACAGTCTTCTGAGGAGCATAAACATCCAAATGCTGTGATCAAACTGATCAGTGACACATTTTGTACCTCTGATTACTGCAACGAAAAGATAAAGGTAAACTCCTTTTATATGTCAGACAGGAGCTGTCAGAAGGAACCAGCCTTTATACCTATAGGCGGTTCATTCATAATGACAATTAAGAATATGCCCCACCACAAGGAGAAGAAAAAAAAACCTTTTATCTTCATAACTGAGCTGTATGAGGAGCTTGTCCCACCTCTAGGTCCAGTTGACCTTATTACAGTTATTGATGCATAAAATCAGGCACCACAACTCAAGTATATATAAAGCTACTTCAATATTGGCGTTAATTTATTTATTCAACGGCAATTAATTTATTGCCGTTTAATTTTAATTCTCTTGTATTTTTTTATATTGTTATGGAATTGTTTTATATATTTTTTAAATGAATAAACTTTATACTGGTAATTCTGTTTCAGACTCTGAACTCTCTGTGGGTCTTACTACAAAGGAGTTGCTTTCTCAGCATCAGGTGTGTACAGATCCTGGACTCAGTCGCCCCGTTAAAGCTCAGGAATCGAAAACGCACGCCCCACCCTTGGGTAAATGAGACTACACGAGAGGCAAGACGCTTGTGCAGAAGAGCTGAACGTCGATGGAAAAAAGATAAACTTCAGGTGTCTTTTGAGATGTTAAAATCATGTTGGAAAGCCTATCAGACCACCGTTACACAGGAGAAAAACAAATATTTCTAAAAAATTATCAACTCAAACAGTCACAACCCCCGCGTTCTTTTCAACACCATTAACACCATTCTAAACGTGCCTCAGTCTGCCACCATTGAGGCCTCTGTTGACACCTGTAATAAGTTTGTCTGGCATTTTGTTGAAAAGGCTGAGTCGATTAGGTCATCAATTCCACACTCCACAGCCCTTCAGTTCTTGTCCCCTGCTCAGCAGTCTTCAGTCACTTTGATCCCATCTCACTCTCATTTTTAAATGAGGTCGTTGGTCACATGAAACCCTCAAGCTCCCCTGCTGATCCCATCCCTGCTGCATTTTTTAAACAGGTTCTACCATCAACTGGACCCTCTGTTCTTGCCATTATTAACAGCAGTTTGGCTACAGGTGTGGTCCCTGATGTTTTAAAACATGCAGCGGTAACTCCATTAATTAAAAAACCCGGACTTGACCCTGCAGCTTGTTCAAACTTCAGGCCAATCTCAAAACTTCCATTTCTTTCTAAAATCTTGGAGAAAATAGTTTTTAGTCAACTAACCAAGATTTTGAATGTAAATGGAATTTTTGAGATTTTTCAGTCAGGATTTAAACAACTGCACGGCACCGAGACAGCTTTAGTAAGGGTCTGTAATGACATTCTGCTAGCAAATGACTCTGGTCAGTCTGTGATCCTGGTACTCTCGACCTTACCGCTGCATTTGACACTGTTGATCACAGCATCCTTATGTCACGGCTAGAACACTGGGTTGGGATTACAGGGGTGGCGCTAGAATGGTTCCGTTCGTATCTGGGTGACAGGAGTTTCTGTGTTAACTTTGACAATTATTTTTCTGCTTCTGTCCCTCTATCCTGTGGGGTCCCACAAGGCTCCATTCTTGGACCCCTTCTGTTCTCATTGTATCTGCTCCCCTTGGGGTCAATCCTGAGGAAACATGGTATTTCGTTTCACTTGTGGTATGAACATATGCTGATATATTCATAAATTAAACGGATTCTTTCATTTTTCTGGACTGTATAATGACGTGCATCTGAATTTAATAAAATGTGGACGGAAACGTTAATTATCTTTGACTCACCAATGACAGTGGGTCATTTATTAACAGAATCAAGTTTAACACATCACACATTTACATTAATTGGCAAGAATTGAAAATAACGACAGCTTATTAATCAGTTTTACAGGAAGTAAACAATACGGCGATTGTTTTCTCACTTCCAGTAGTACAACAGACATTAACCACACGGCGGTGGTTGAAAAACTTTGCTTCAGACATTTCTAAAAATATCTGGATTAATTTCTTAGCAGATAGAAGAGTTTAAAGATTGAAGTTTAGAGGGAGGGAGATGGTGTGTGGTGAATTTGTCTGTTATAATCAGAAACAGCACGCTCCTTTGGACCAGCTTGTCCCAACGGTACACTTTGGTTGAAGATCGACTTTTTACCTTTCTGAAGATATGTCAGTTCCGGCGTAAAGTTCACTTCGAGCCACTTTTCAGCGTCTCCGTAAGAACAGCTAAACCTCGGGAGTCGTGAGATCATCCAGAACAGACTTCATAATTCCTCTGAACTTCTCTCGTCCAGCTTAGTGGCAGATGTACTGAGCATGCTGCATTCCAGCATTCTGGACTCTGGAACTGCCGAGTTTCAGAACTGCAGAACTGCTCGAGCTCCTGCAGAACTTCTTCATCTACAGCAACTAACTTGAACTAGGAAGTACCAACATTTAAAGAAAGCTCACTTCCGGTTCATTTGAGAACTTTCTGATTGGTCGATTGACCAAAACAGAGGTGTGTTTTGTGATGTAAGGTGTTATGAAAAGTCAAGGAAAAAGATTAAGATTGTTTAAGAACAGACAGAAGATTGTTATGAAGAACTCAGACTCCGTGGAGTCAATTCTCTAGTATCTTGCTGTAAAAGTTAAACATGACATTTCTTTTTCAGTAAACTTGCAGTTGACCGAAACTTGAACTTTGACCAACTTACACACTTGCTCATTGAAGACAGAAAATCAGACAATGCATCATTAACCTGATTTCTTCTTTGAATGAGGATTAAAAATCGTTATTACTGTTTCACAGTTGATTTAAAAATGAGTAGTTCCCTTCAACATTTAAACATTGTTTGAACTAACACAATTTGATTATCAAACATTTGTAAAATAGTAATGATAATCGAAAGTAGTCTTCTTTTACTTGATTAATTCAAGAAAGAAAGTCTCAGGATGGGTCAACCTGTATTTCTGGATTCAAATCAATGAAATGACAGTTTCTGTCCCATATGGTCCTTAAGGTCAGGACTTGACCTCAGGCTCAGGCCTAGTTCACTACAGTCCCCCCTTTGGAAATCATCGCCTGTCCATGGGGATGAATTCCAACATGAACTTACGCCTTCGAATGTCCTTGGTCTTGATGTAATCCAGCAAGGAAAACAAAAGTCAAAAGTAATCCAGCAAGGAAAACAAAAGTCAAAAGTAATCCAGCAAGGAAAACAAAAGTCAAAGGTAATTCCACAATGTTCTTGGTAATTCCATTGTGTTGATGATAATTCCATAATGTTGTTGGTAATTCCATTGTAGCAATGCTTTAACCCCCTTGGAAACAGAGTCTGTAATCCATTGGAAAAAGTCATATAATCCACAACGGTAAATCCACAACGATTGGAGGTGTTGATTGATCAGCATACAGAGGGGTTCCCTTGGATTGAACCGAAGATGCAGCCACTGGATGAAGATTGGAGACCAACGTCAGGATTGCAGGTCTCCTCCAGCGAAGGTCGTCGCTGGGTGGATGTCCAGTCTGTGCCGTTCTGGTTCAATGTGTCATGCAATTATGTGGTTTAAGGTGGGCTTATGAAGGGGATTTTACATAAGGCCTTAAACTATATGCACCTGGTGTGTAAGCTATTATGATTGGGAACAGCTACAGCTACCAGTTAAGGGGTGGAACATGCTGAATAGGGTAACTATAGGGATTTATACCTACAGAAGAGTGTTCCAAACTATTTTTCCATTTCTAACTTGGTTTAAGTTAGCTTTACATAGTAAAATATAGTTTGGTTCAATTGTCTGTTGTCTTTTAGACGAACGACTTGAGATTGGGTGTTTGGTTTCCCCATAAATGTTTTTGGAAGTCTATGGCGAGACTCATCAAAAAGAATTAGCTATCCCCCCGAATAGAATTGTTCGAGTAGGTTCGGCTTAAGCGTTGTGAGATCAATGTAGATTATGGTACTTAAGGTAGCATTAATCTACATTGACTCCGCAAAGATTGCAATTTAACGAATGAACTGCATGTTGGCATGGTTAAAGGCCTCTTAGTCTCTAACTTAACTACACACAAAATTCATTCTTGCTTGGGGTGTTCAGAAACAATACCAAAAACCAATTAAACGATGTCTCAACATTGACAAAAACAGTGACTAAGCAACCAGTAAAACAACGTTTCAACATTGACAAAAGTAGTGATTAAGCAACTAGAAAACGACGTTTCGGTGCGTCACTCACTCTGAATGTCAGATTTGCTCACGTTATCGCGTCTGGTAGCATTATCCTAACTGGCGTCACCCCCCTTCGGTCATGGGAGACCGCGAACACGGGTGAGGACGTCGCT